ACATACCGTGCGCCACCCCTGAAGCACTACGAATAATGGAGCCTCTCGACTATCCATGATTAACGCGGCAATAACGATTATTTATAGGCCTAAAACAATGTTTCACGGTGTGTCCAACCCCATGGACTGACCGGCCGGTCCGGTCTCGTACGAGTCTCGTGCGTTATGGCTTGAATCAGCAGTTAGTACTTTCTCTCCGACCCGCAATCCCGGGCCACGCGACAGGCCCAGGGATTTATGCAAAAATCTCCGAATGTCTCCGTGGGGTGCCGCTACACGCCTAATTAATCGCGGACCACGCGCCGTCCCATCGCACCCCGTCTCGTGTATTAACGCGCTCGGCCACTGATTGGAAAACTCGACGGATTTAGCACCTGCGAAGTGGGCTTTTATGAAACCGATACCGCCACCCTTCTTTCCGTTATTGCGGTCTACGTACATCGTACGTCTCCGCTCGCCGCTCATCGACGCGCGATATCGTTTCGGAAATGGTATTTCAGAGGGAAGGATTGTACGCCATCGTCGGACGTGATATTGGCGTAATTTACAGGTGAACGTGGCTACGCGACCGGTACGCGGAATTCACGGGATTTTCATTCTAATAAAGTCTGATCGCGTCGTTTAATAATATCTCTATTCGTTTTTCTGCACCTGAATTCTTCTCGAGCGAGTATAAAAATGGGACGTACCCGTCCGTGTCGAGCGCCGGCCAAAATTGACTCTAGCTTTTTTCACCAAATGATAACATTTCTAACCAACTTCGGAAAGAAGATGATCCTCTGTTTGCTATACGTATGTATTTTTGTGTCCATACTTAGCAGTTATTCTGCAGTGGACTCAAGTTAGAAAATTTACCAATTAAATCATTGGTCGGTACTACAATAATTGGCAATTTCCTGTTTCCTGCAAACTACAACTTTCCTATACTTGAGATTTACCACTCCTTATATACGAATTTCATAAAGTCATTTACGACCTTTTATTAAGTTTCGTTTCTTGTACTTTTTTTAAAATTTGAATTTCGTCCATGTTCTAGTCCAAGATATTATATAAAAAGAACTCGATACTGTCGATACTACTCGACTCTTCCCTACTGCTGTAAATAGTTTTCTTTATGTACGTACACATACGAAGTGTTTATGTGTAGGTCGGTGAATCCGTGCACGGTGTTCTGGATTATCTTAAAACTTTTGATCGCTTACGAAACTTTTGATACTTTCCCCATCCTAGATTCAGCAGATTCGGTCACCGCGATCGATTCCTTCGAGCGTGTATAACTCGGGCTAAAAGTTTGACTGGAAATTTTCCCGGGTCCAATCAGCTTAACGAAAGAAGAAATCAGCAGCGATGGAAAAAAGAAGCCAAGAATCAAATATTTTCCATCCTGTTTACGACTCGAGACGGGAGGGGGATGCTTTCTGCGATATCATTGTTTGTACGAGTCAGCAAAGGCATAATAATATCGCTGGTTTGGGCGGAATAAAAGAGTAGCGAGCTTGGTCCAAGCTAACATATCCACTCTAACTAAAAGAAGAAGTCAGAGGAATATAGGGAAAAACTAACTCGATATTACCAGGCAGCGGGGAATGATCCCGGAGGGAAGACAAATAGAAATGATGAAGGAACTATAAGAAGTGGCGAAGAAAGAAGAGTTGGGGAAAAATAAGAATAAACTTCAACTTTCTGGTGTTTAGTAAAAATCGATTTATGTATATTATCGTTTAAGACGTGAAACATGACGAGCGATGCACTTCAGATAAAAATGTAGCAATTATATTATTGGAATCAAAAAAGCAATGGACACAATTGATAATTGTTTAAAAATCGTCTGTTCGCTAGCAAGATTCTATCTAAAATAAATTTATATTCAAAAATTAGTCATTCATAGACTTCAAGTGCGTATTGTTTCAAAACATTCTTTGCAAGAATGGTCTGAAACACATCTATCTGAACTGAAATACAGCGTTAAATATAGACGTCAGTATTTAATAACAGTAATATAATGTTTTACTGAATTGAATCGTTTAGTATCGGAACAAATAATATAAATCGACCTTAATGCGGCATTGAAATTCCATCGGTTTCTCTGCCGACTGCCGGGGGCTCCATCGAGTGATGAATATTATTTGCGATAAGAATTTTTCGTATTTCAACCAGGGATCCGGGGGAATGGACGTGGCCGAGCGGTCATTTCTATGCAGAACTTGCCGATGCGTGTTGGTTCAGCTCGCAACCGGCCTGGCGCGCAATTTCCCAAAGAATCCGCAGAATTCGATGCTGAGCTACGAGCCACTCGCGGACGAATAAATTAGACATACGTCGCTGAAGTTATACATGTGTATCTACGTCCGACTAGAATGGATTCGCTGAAGAATTCGGTATAGCGAAACCGGTATTATTGATACTGCTGTTATCACTGCATTCGGGACCACATATTTCCTTAGGGATATGCGTGGATCATTGTGTAGAAAGAAGATATTGCATGCAAATGCAGTGCTTTCAGCTTTGCGAGGAGTAAACTCAAATTTTTTATGTATACGCAAAATGCATTAAGTCTTAATATGACCCTCGTTGATTAACGAGTTTGACATGCCTGTTATACACACATATACACATTGAAATTCATTGTTTTTTTAAAGGGTTCATAGTTTCATACATCCTTAAATAAAATTTACAAATCAACACAATTAGTTCATAGCAACAGAATTTATACTATCGCATTTTGATTGGCTGTAATAAAAATCCAAATTCTACTGTTGCGTGCAGAGAATCACGATCGAATCTCTGTCAAAGAATTGGTTATAGGAATGGAAGGTTTAGCACGGACACTCGCACGAGATATTCGACGGATGGTTACGGCTACGCTCGAGCAATAGAACCTCTTAGGGCTGACGTATACGGTATAATACTACTGGGGAGGTTCTCTCACTCATGCTCTATTTATAGATGCTATGTATACTAAGCTGGGCGATCGCGGTAGTGGATGATTGACAGGGTTGGAGATGGGAGATAGAGGGCAGAAATAGTGAGCGTATCAATCAGACATGAGAATTCAGCCATCGATATCCAACACAGTAGCTCTCAGCTTCGATGAATTATTTACAACACTTACTCGCTTGAATACAAAGAAGTATGTACACAGTAAGATTGAAGTGAATAGTTTACTTCGAGCAATGTTTATTGTGTTTATTACTGTCGGTACAAAGTTCTATTCTGTGCTTTGTCACAGAAATTGGAAAAGCGTGTACTAAAAATTGAATAATCGGAAGTTTACTCGCACCTACACATTTTATGCTTGATCTGTTACATGAAATTACAGAAGCTTATAT